CGTCCGTGAACTAGTCACTTTCGGGCAAATATGAAGACATCAGTGGGAGAGAGAGAGAGGAGGGGGCTGGTTTTTGGGGAGAACAGTTCAATTCCCTCTCTAGAGTTTGCCCAAAACACCAAAAGGGGAGTTCTAGTATGTGTGTGTTTCTAGTATGTGTGTGTGTGTGTGTGTGTGTGTGTGTGTGTGAGAGAGAGAGAGATAGAGAGAAAGAGAGAGAGAGAGTGCTAGAGTGATCTTGGAGCATCATTGGAGGCTTGGGTGAACAAGGGTTCAAGCTTAGAAGAAGAAGATCTTAAGCTCAAATTTGTAATCCCTCTCTCTCTCTCTCTCTAGAAACTCACTATTTTCTCTTGGGTGTTGTAGATCCCTAACTAATACTTTGTAATTACTTGTTTAGATTGAATGATTGTCATTGGGTATTGTTTAATTCAATAATCGAGGTATTATTCATGTTTATTGTGCATGCTTGTGCTTAGCATTCTAAGGATTGTGCATGATCGTGCTTAGCATCCTTAGGTTTTTGCATGTTGGTGCTTAGCCATCTAATTAGCCACTTTAACCTAGATTAGAGAGGAAAATCTCCATTTCAAGGGAGACTCAATCGAGTTGGTTTTCCTTTAGCTTCTTAAGCCACCTAACTAGGTTAATTTAGGGCAAACCTCAATGTTGAATTAAGAAAATTGGTCAAGCGCGATTAAGCCGTCCAACCCTTGAGTTGAGTGAGGGAGTAAGTCAACCACCAATTGCCTAAACCTAGAGGTCCGAGTGACACGACCTATAATGTATACCTCGGTTTAGCAATCGAGAGTGTGGTCAACGACCATATTTGCATCCCTTTGCGGTACGCGGTCACCTTGCCCATAGCAATCGTTCCGATCCAACGAGTCTTGGTAGCTAGTTAGGGGGAAGCAACTCCTGGGTGAAGCTCTCTTAGTTAGAATTTTCCTTTATTTACTTTTCTTTGCTTGTTTAGTTTGTAGTTTTCTTAGTTTGAAAATCCAAAACCATTTTGCTAGATAACAACTTAAGCGATTGAAGTAGGGGTACATGGATCGGCCCGGGTTGACAATTTAAATATATGCTCTATACTGCGCCCGACTAGAGTTTAAAAACTTGGGCTCTAGTCAGGATTAATTTGTGGTGTAGTTTCGTGCGAGTTAGCGATTCTGGTTTCTTTGTATGAAATGTTGAGGGCTAGGAGTAATATACCTCTTACCCTCGGTTGGATCTCCCTCATAGGAGAAAAGTCACAGATTATGTCGAGAAAAATCATTAAGCAACTCAATTAATCAATTAAACAACAAAATACACCCTTAGGTTCACTCTACACGCCCACACACTTAAGTGTTACAATGTAGAAACTAGAGGTGCATAAGAAACATATGTTGAAAATGCCTAGGTCGAGGTCTAAATGCATGAAAACAAGGACATCAGGTCTTTATAGAGGTTTATATACCTTGGCCGAAGGCTAGAATCAACTTATTAGAAAACAACCAAAGTTCGAACTAATGGATCTAAAAGCATATTAAAGCACAAAATCAAAAGTGAGCCAAAGTTGTAAACTCAAGGGTCATGCATCAAAGATTCAATCTCAAATATCACTGGAGCGATCTTTGGCTTGAGACCGCAATGTTATGTTGGACTTTGCGATCTTCGGTTTCTCGACCATGATCTTGACTCCTTTGAATGCAAACTCCATTTTGGCCCTTAAACTTTGCACTTGTGCCCGGTTTTGTGCCTAAATGGCAAGTATTATCTAATGCACCCTAAAATTACGTGATATGCGTCGAGGAACAAATGTAGGATGAAAATGAAAATAAATTAACCATGAAGCTCAAATAACGGTATGAAATCATCTAAAATATGAGTGCTAAATAAGACCCATTTGGGTGTTAGATCATCTCCATCCCCAAATTTTGTCAATTGCCAAATGAGGTGGAGGGTGAGGTGGCAATCCTTTAGCAATTTCTAGTGATTCATGGGTGATTGCTAAGTTAGCAAGCTTGCTAAATTGACAAGTTTCCTAGCAATGCCACCTAGACATATGAGACCCACTTTCATGTTTGTTTTTTCTTTTTCTACCGCAAATTGTATTCTTGTATATTATTATTTTTAAGTTGTTGATTAGGAAAATATTATTATATGATTAATTAGTTAGAGAAGTAATTATGATACGCTTTTTTTGCTATAAATTATATCTTCGAGTTTTATCATCCAAATACAAAATAAAAGAGATGTAAAATTGAATATTCATGAAACTAGAAAGAAATTACTCTAAATAAAAATATTTAGATATTTTTTATAGTTCAATTTATAAACGCTAATTATGCATAAATATAAGATTGTCAAATATAAGAAAAACATAAGTTTTTATATGGATATGTTGTGGGTCCCGTCAATAAAAATTGCTAAGAAATTGCTGCGATGGAGATGGCTAGAAATTGTTGAAGGTATAAATTGCTAAGTTGCTTATGTGGCTATGTGAGATCAATTTAGAAATTGCTAAACAATTTCTGGGATGGAGATAGTCTTATCAATCTCAATGGATGGAGTTGTTGGGAGAAGGTCTGTAATGGATATTATTACATTTTCTAACAACAGGCCACAGGAAAGACCTATTGGTTTGAAGTTTACAAATGCCCTTCATACTTTGTGCTTCAAATTAACTATTAATATCAGAGGTTGTGGGATATGAACACAATACCTCTTGGTCATCATAGACTCTAATACATTGCCAAGAAGCAACTAGTCCCACTAATTTGAGTTGTTGGTAGAGGTTCCAAAATAGATCTTACACCAATCCTTTACACGCCCCATCAAACAGCAGGCAACCCATGGGACGAAACATTCATAGGTTTATCATATCTTGTGCTTAAGCGAATTTTTTAATATTAGAGGTCTTGGAGATCTGAACACAAGCCTATCGGTCATTACAAGCTATAATATAGTTCCAAAAATCATTTGATCCCAATAACTATAGATTTTTATAGAAGGTCAATAGTGTATCTTATATCATTCTCTTACCCAACAAATGGGTGTATGTTCACCCAAGGACACTACCTCTAAAGCGGACAACAACAAGAGTTTGCCTGCCATTCTATGGCCAACCTAGTTGGTAGTCCGTGGAATCGTCCTAAAAACTATACAAAGAGGACACAACTCCAATAAATGAAGACACTCTCGAAGTAGGGTACCGCCCCAACGAATCTTCCATTGTCATATGGTCTAGTTCTTGGATCACCACTTCAGAGTCACATTCGACATTGAGGCGAGGCAAAATCCTTAAGACTCGTAGTGAAATGACATCTCTAGCAGCAAAAAGCTATATGAGGTAGGGATCAGATACTACCCGTTGTTGAGATCCCAAGACCCCAAGGCTAGTAGAACTTTCTCATTTTCCCCATGCACGAAAAGCCAGACGAGCACCCAGAGTCTTGAACGACAATGTCAAAGTTGATCTTCAGGAAAACATGAGGCGGGTAATCCCAAAAGGTAGATAATGAGGGTGCATGACTATGACGGGGAACCTGGGAGGGTTGAAAAGCTGAGGATAGTTCGAGAACTTGGAATGGAATTGACAGGCAAGAGAACGGGCATGTGGCTGAGTATACTTATAAACTACTCTGTTACGAGATTTCCATATTCTCTGTGGTAGACAAACACATTGGAGAACGTGGGTTTGTAAGTTTTCAGGAAACATAACAAATCGCCACCAGATACTAAAGTTCATAGTTGAGGTGGAGCCAAGCAAATCACTTAATCCCACAAATCCAAAGCTTGATGACAAGAGGACAATGAAAGAACAAGCGTTCAATGCTCTCTTGATGTTCCCAAAACACATGACATTAGATAAGGTTCCTTAATTCTTATACCTAATTATTTGGAATGAAAAATGTATAACACCCAGGGATGGGGGTTAGTCCCAAACCACATGACATCAGATAAAATTGTCAAACTAGTATCTAGCTGGTTGGTTCAACATGATCCAACTGGAATCATTCATCTAAACGATTGAAATACGTTATGGTTGGACGATTTATGAAAAAAGTCAAAATCAGATTAAACCATTCAAAACCAATTAGTCTATCCGGATTTGAAGATAATAATCGATAATTTGGTAATCCTATTTTTTCTGAAGAAATAATTTAATATTATATAATAAATATTGATTACTGAGATTGTTTTAAAATATGTTAAATACATGATAATTTATTTTGTATTTGAAATTTTATCGTATATTCTATTACATTCGGTTTAGACTAGCTGAACTGCATCCAACTATTAGACGGAAAACCACTTTTCAAAGCAACTTAGACTAACTTCAACCCGTAAAGTCAAATTTGGCTCCCCAAATAGCCAAATTTGGCTTTTTAGCTCCCCAAATCCCATTTTCACTCCAACCCTACACAAAGCTAAATTTCGCTTCTCATCTCCCTTTTTTCAATTTATTACAATAAACCATACTTATTTGACCTCTAATTTTTATATTTCACTTTAATTATTCTATAGTTAGTTATTACTTTTGAAAACAAAATTTTCGATGTAATTTTTTTTAAATTCCGAGACAAAAAATATTTCGGAAAATTAGTCATTATTTTGTTACCGTTAACTTCGGGACCACTGAGATAATACCAATTAAACACACAACAATTCATATCTTCTTTCAAACAATTAAACAAACAACATACACAATCAACCAATGACAAAATACCACACAAAAAAAAGAAAAAAGGAAAACAACACAATCAACCAATGAGAAAATTCCACAGAAACAAATAAAAAATAAAAAATAAAGGAGGACCCGCTGCGGGTCCACCATTTTCTCTAGCCAAATTTGGCTTTTCCACTCTTTTGGGAGCTAAATTTGGCTCCCAATTCATCAATACCCATTTTTAGCTTCCCAAAATAATGTGGGTTGGAGCACAAAAAAAGAGCTAAAAATGGGTAAATGGCTTTTTAGCTCTAGGGTTGGAGTCAGTCTTAATGCCTATTAACAACCTTGGTTACCACCTAGTTCTCCCGACATTATTATGGTGCTATGTATTTCCACTATTCCTTCCACAAAAGAAAGAGAGAGAAAAACACGAAACCAAAATAAAATATAACTAAAAGACGGAAAGCAATAGAAAAGAAAGGGAAGGAAAAGGGGGAAAGGAAGAGAGAAAGAAAGACTTTGGAGCACCACCGCACCGATGCCGATGTGACATGTTCTACAGTCCGAATCTTCTCTCCTCCCTCACTCTAGCCTAAGTTAGAGAGTTCACCACTCTCACTCTCGCCAAATGAAATGACTCACTGAGTCACCTCGTCTCCCCCGTTCCTTCTTCTTCTTCTTCCATTCGATTCTCTTCCTTTTTGAACAATAGATAGGTAGATAGATAGATGGGTTGCACGGCCTCCAAGCTCGACAACGAGGACACCGTCCGCCGCTGTAAGGAGCGCCGCCGTCTCATGAAGGAAGCCGTCCACGCTCGCCACCACCTTGCCGCCGCCCACGCCGATTACTGCCGCTCCCTCCGCCTCACCGGCTCTGCCCTCTGCTCCTTCGCCGCCGGCGAACCCCTCGCCGTCTCCGAACAAACCCCCGCCGTCTTCCTCCACCCTCCCCACTCCTCCACCAATTCCATCCCTCCACGTGTCCCCCCTTCTCCTTCTCCTTCGCCTTCCCTCCACCCTCCCCCGCCTCCCCCTCCCTTTTCCCCTTCCATCGCCAGCTCCAAGCTCCCCCACATCCTCTCCGCCTCCAGCCTCGACGCCTCTTCCAATCGCCACCGCCGCAAGCAGCAGCCGCCGCCGCCGCCCAAACTCCCCCACATCCTCTCCGAGTCCAGCCCTTGCTCTTCCCCTGCCCGCAGCGAGAAATCCAATTTCACCACCGCCTTCCCCACCGCCTACCAAGCCGATTCCAACTACTCCCGCACCCCCTCCCAAGCCTCCTCTGTTTGGAACTGGGAGAATTTCTACCCTCCGTCCCCTCCCGACTCCGAATTCTTCAACCACAAAACTCCCCCGCCGCCGCCGCCGCGACACCAGAGTCACCACCTCGACGAGGCCGATGACGAGAGGACAGAGGCTGAAACCGAACGGTCAGAGTACGATTTCTTCCAGAAGCCGAGCTACCCGCATCTGATGGAAAACCCCACCGCCGCCCACAAGCAGTACAGTGCCGTCGACCCAGAGTTGGAGAGGGAAGAAGTTCAGTGTAGCGAGTGGGGAGATCACGATCGCTACAGCACAACGAGCTCCTCCGACGGCGGAGTAGAAGACGACGACGACGAAGCGGCCAGATCCGGGATCGGGACGAGGTCGAATTTCGGGGGATCGATGCGGGCGGAGTCTGTAAAGCATCAACCTCAGCAGAATCAGAAGCAGCCGACGCCGCCGCCTTCAATTTATCGGAACGCGGATGGAGCGGGCTCGTCGGCGAGTTTTAGGACCAGTGAGATGTCGGATATGAAAATGGTGGTGAGGCACAGGGATCTGAAGGAGATTGTGGAGGCTATTAAGGAGAATTTTGAGAATGCTGCAGCCGCCGGCGACCAGGTGTCGGAGCTGCTCGAAATCGGGAGAGCGCAGCTGGATCGCAGTTTCAGTCAGCTGAAGAGTAAGTTTTTTTTTTTCTTTTTGTCGTTGCTGAGAATTTCAACAGTGTTTAGGTTTTGGAATTCATTTCTTAATTATAATTTTGGGAATTGAAATATTTTGCAGAGACCGTTTACCACTCTAGCAGTGTGTTGAGCAGCTTGAGCTCGAGCTGGACTTCGAAACCGCCATTGGCGGTAAAGTACCAGCTGGACACTGCGGCGGCAGGGGCCACGAGAAGCCTCTGCTCCACATTGGAGCGGCTTTTGGCCTGGGAGAAGAAACTCTACGAGGAAGTTAAGGTACCATTCTGTAATATTCCCCTATTTGTCATTGGGCTGCTTCTTTCCTGGGGAAAAAGATAGCTTTGGTTAACAATGAGGTGAGGATATGCACTATGGCTAGACCACCTCTCTCTGCCTCTTAGCTTAGCTGGTAGCGTGATTCCACCGCATGCGATTTGACCTGACGCTGGCCCATTAGCAACCTTGACGAAACCCAAAGTCCCAAATCACATTTCCCCCCTACTGCTTCGATTTGATTCAAATGGTAAGAGCCTGTTGGAGAAATTGTCCCAAGCTGATATTACTGCTGCCACAGGGGTTTTGTAAGGACCTCCTCTCCTGGCAACCAAATTTCTTCAAGGTTGGCTTGTGCTGGAGTACATGTGCTCCCTTGCCAATCGGATCCCCAGCTTACAGAACTTTGTCCCTTAATGGGTTTTGTATTTTTCCTCAAAGTGGAGACAAAGTCCAGAAATACACTTGAACGCCGGTGGTGGTCGGCCCAACAGACTTGCAGCTTTTCTTTTGGCCATTTTCTGTCCACCCCAACCCACCCCACTTTAGAGCTTGCACTCGTTAGTCCCTTACATTTATTTGCCATCTGTTTGTCCATGCAAGGGAAAGAAACCTCCTTTGAGGAACATGGCCTGGAAATACCAGCAACTCAAACTGTTCATGTGTTGTTTTAGGCCAGAGAAGGTGTCAAGATTGAGCATGAAAAGAAGCTGTCGACCCTCCAGAGTCAGGAGTATAAAGGGGGCGATGTAACTAAGCTAGACAAGACTAAGACCTCAATCAAGAAGCTGCAGTCTCTTATTATTGTGACCTCGCAGGCTGTTTCCACCACCTCAACTGCCATTGTTGGTCTCAGAGACTCCGATCTCGTTCCTCAGTTGGTCGACCTTTGCCATGGGTATGTCACTCTCCTCTCCTCTCCTCTTCTCTTCTCTGCTCTCTCCCCTTTCTTTTTTGAAAGAATTAATGCACAAGTAGCGTTGAGGAACAAGTACCAATGATCTATAATAATAGTGTCCTTATTATAGTTTGAATTTCTTTTTTCATAAAATGAGATAAGGTCATTTGTCGAGGCGTTCACACACTGGAGCGTACATTACTACCTTCTTACGTTGTACACTCCTAGTCGATTCATTTCTCATTGGGGTTATTCTTGATCTATGTAAGTGCTCTCTAGTATTTTCAACACGCTCACGATTTCCCGGCACGCTGATTGTGTCGCAGATCGTTATTCTATGAACTATGTGATTCGGTTACCATCTATTGGGATGTCAAGTATGATAGGTTAATAGTACTAGATCTTTCCATGGTAGTAGGTGAAGCACATAATAAGGCTACTGCCCAGCTGGTGCCACTTGCTTTCATGCCTTAATGTGAACGCATGTGCTTTTCTTGTCCTCCTACTGTTCAATTCTCAACTAGCACCCAAAGTCATAAAGTTGGCCCATCTCTCGACCTCGTTGCATATGTCTCATCTCATCTCATCTCCTGGCCCTGTTCGGGGTCAAAAGGTTACTGACATTAATCGAGAACCAGGTTCAATGCACTGATATGTCCCCACCTCTCAATTGGGTATTGTTGATTTATGTGAGCTAGTGACTAGTGAGGTTTTGTCACTCTTAAGAGCAAGCAGGGGCAATTGCAACACACAGGTATCAGCTGACATGACAATTGTAATTGGAGGCACATGATATTGCAACTGAATCGCATTGTTATTTTAATTTGTATGAGCGTACCACCATGAAGTCTGGCTTTTCCGAATATGATGTGCTAACATTCGGTGGTAATGCATTCCCCCCCTGCAGATTCATGTACATGTGGAGGTCGATGCACCAGTACCACGAGGTCCAAACAAACATCGTGCAGCAGGTGCGGGGCCTAGTGAACAGGTCGATGAATGGCCACTCGACCTCCGAACTCCATAGGCAAGCCACACGCGACCTTGAGTCGGCTGTCTCGGCCTGGCATTCCAGTTTCTGCCGCTCAATAAAATTCCAGCGCGACTTCCTTCGATCGGTCCAAACATGGTTCAAGCTGACCCTTGTCCCAGTGAGCAGCACAGACAACACCACAAATGGTGCCGTACAACGGTCCGACGTGTACGCCTTCTGCGATGAGTGGAAGCTGGCCCTGGATCGTGTCCCCGACACGGTGGCTTCAGAAGCCATAAAGAGCTTCATCAATGTGGTCCACGTGATATCGGTAAAACAAGCGGAGGAGCTGAAGATCCACAAGAGAACCGAGAGTGCATCGAAGGAGCTGGAGAAGAAGGCGTCCTCGCTGCGCAACATAGAGAGGAAATTCTACCATTCGTATTCGATGGTAGGAGTGGGGCTCCCTGATAACGGGGCGGAGAATGGACCGGCGGGGCTGGATGCTCGAGATCCACTGTCGGAGAAGAAATCGGAGCTTGCGGCGTGTCAGAGAAGGGTGGAGGATGAGATGGTGAAGCATGCTAAAGCAGTGGAGGTTACTAGAGCGATGACGTTGAACAATTTACAGACAGGGTTGCCGGGGGTTTTCCAGGCGTTGACTAGCTTCTCTGCATTGTTTACGGAGGCGCTTGGGACGGTATGCACCCATTCCTACGGTATCAAGTAGTGGTGCAATTTTTGTTTTACTTGGTTTGTTTATGGGGTGGGGAAGTTTGTTTTGTAAGGGCCGGGGAAAATTTTCCTTTCTATTTTGGATGGGGAAAGTATCATCATTATATTTTTGACATGTAAATATATGGCTGTTTCGATTTTGGCGATATATGTCTTTTGTTGTTGTTGCTGCTACTCTTGATTTGGTTGGAAAGGAGAGAAATGGGGACTCTCTGTACATGACAGGATTGCTACTTTGCATTTGTTGTACTAGAGGAGGTGGAATAAATTATGCTGCCTGCCTGCCTAATGTGCATCTGTTTTCTTAATGAATGAACTTTAACCCCAAGCATTTTAACTTGTAATACGCAACGCAACTATTAAAAATTCCCGACCCGATCGGTTTGTGTAAGACTTAAAATTCTGAAGTTTTGTAGCAAATCTGGAACTCCCGTTCTCTTACATTAGGCTAACTCCAATGGAGCCTCTATATTTGGGGGAAAGTTGGCTCTAATGGAGCTTTTATAAATGGAGGAGATCTCCAAAAAGGATCCTCTATATTTGGGGAGATCTCCAAAAGGATCCCAAAATATAGAGACTCCCCAAAGCCCACCGCGTGGCGTTTCTTTTTCTTTTTAAGATTTTAAGGGTTAATTGGGGTTTAACTAGGGGATTAGTTAGGGGTTTAATTAGATCAATAATTTTCAAGTGTTGTGTGTAAACCCAAATTAGGTCAATAATTTTTTGTCAACAAAAATTTGGTCTCATAATTAAAAAAATTTCTACCGGAAAATTTGTATTTAAAAATGATGACGAACTATACAAAAATTAACATGAATAAATTATATTAAGGTTTCGATAAGTACATTTTTAAGTAAATGAGAAACTTAATAAATGGAGATCTCCAAATTTAAAGGATGTAGCATTGGAGCAAAAGAAGGGAAAATGGGGAAGAATTTCAAATTTGAGAATGAAGATCTCAAATTTTGGGGCTTGCATTGAAGTTGGTCTAAACAAGATCTTCGTTGGCCGTGTAGTAAAAGAAAAAAAAAATGCGAGCCACAGTTTGACCGGCGCTTGCTATGGTTATGGTTAGGTCTAATCCGTCTGTCTAACTCAAATGCAACGGCACGTCTGGCTGACGTTAACCGGCCGGATTTTGGGATCCTTTTGTTGATCAGTTTACAAATTTGGGCTGCACAAGCAAAGCAATTCAATGTTACTTCTGGACCGGACTGACACCAACAGTGGATCTGTATCTGTTTGCAAGTGGTGCATCACTACACAGTACCGCCCCACCCTAAATTTAGTAATTTACACACGAATCTCTTTCTTTTCTTGGGTTAAACCTTTGAGTTTAAGCAAAATAATATATAAATCTTTTAAAAAATATTATAATATCTTAATTGTTAATTTTTCAACCACTTGATTATGATGTGGCTAATTCGTATTGACATCGTAGTCAAGAGACTCTGGGTTTGATCCCCAATAAAGTCGTATAGAACTTCCACCTTCTAATCAAATCGTACAAAAACCAAATTGATCAAATTGCAAATCTTACATCACACTCAATATGCAATTGCAAAGAGAATGCACTAATGTAGTGAGCACTTGTAAATAAGCAAGCTTGCATTTGATAAAATTTAAGATGCAAACCACATAGGAAAAAAAAAATATTCATTTTACTCTTTTTTTTTTGTCTTACAAAATCACTTGGACTCATTATATATGCAATTGCAAGTGAATTGCATGGAGCGGATAGGGTGCTAACATTCTTTAGAGTTAGCAGCCTACTAACACTTACTATAAAGGTATATTAGTAACTGTAACCTTTCCCTTCTCTGTAGGTCGACCTATCCAGCAGGAAAATAACAATTAACAACAAAAAGTAAGTTCAAAACTAAACCGAAAAAAGGATAGGTCGACCAGATATCTGGCGCGGTTGACCTTTTCAAGCAGAACATAGTCATACAAACAAAGCCAAAGTCGACATTCAGGTTGAATAACCAAAAAAATAGAAACGGTCGACCTTGAAACCCATTAGGTCGACCAATTGGGTTACCTCGCAAGTACAGAAGTCCAAGTGTTGTGGCCTAAATTCAAATACGAAGAATTGTCTCGTCAGGTCGACCTGGTTGATGTCACGGTCGAGCGAATGGAATTCTGCACCCAACAATATATCAAATTAGCCGGTGGAAATCACGCATTAGAAAAGATGACGGCGAATGCTACATTAGGTCGACCGCACCTTAGACCTGGCCGACCACTTCCAACACGTACAACAGCAACCGCGAATGATCTTCTTCACAAAGGCTCTTAATCGGAAAAAAAAACCTAATTCAGACTTGGAGGTGTGGAAGGGGACTTATATTCGTATTTATAGAGATTTAGGACGTCAATGGGTCGACCCAATTCGTTTCCTTGTCCAATTGTGGAACCTTTCTGGTGTTGGAATCCATATCCAATACAGATACGGTGTGAAGGCGGTCGACCGCTTCATAATGCGGTCGACCTGTTAGGTGCACAAGGGTCGGCCTATGAGATATTTGGGTCGACCTTTCATTCTGTTAGACCACCAAAGCGGTCGACCGTATTATGTAAGAGGTCGACCGCGTCTCGGAACCCCACATACATGAATTAGTCCATTCGGTCGACCGCATGTTGGATTAGGTCGACCGAAAAGTCTATGTCACGGTGACATGCATGTCACCGTAGCAAAATCCGGAAAAGTTTCATTGTGTTTGCCAATCTGCACATCAACTGTTTGTGATCATTACTGAAGGAACATCAAACTGCTTGTGATAATTACTGAAGGAGATGTTTCATAAGCATACTACAAGTATTTTTATGGAATCCATAAGCCTCATAAAGGCTATCACAAGTTTATTAAAATCTATCACAAATTTATCAAAGCATACCAAAAGTGAGAAGAGAAGAAAGAGAAGGGCAAAAGGGAGAGGAAGGGGAATGTGAAGCCTACCACAAGTTCATCAAAGTCTACCACAAGTTCATTAAAGCCTATCGCAAGTTTATCAAAGCATACTACAAGTGGAAAGAGGGAGGGAAGAGAGAAGGAGAAGCATTCCACAAGTTTATCAAAGCATATCACAAGTTCATCAAAGCATACCACAAGTTTATCAATGCATACCACAAGTTTCTTAAAACATACCATATCATTGGACCTATCTATAAATTTTATAAAGTTTAGGTATCAAAATGTATGAAAAAATTTATGGGTACTCAAATATATTTTTTTCATCAATATTTTTAGGCTTATATGTATATAAATTTTAGTCACTAAATATAAAGAACCATTAAGTTCAGGGACCAAAACTATAATTTTGTATATGGAAGCCAATGAAAGCAACGTAGAATAAGAGAAAGGGAGAGGAAGAGGAAGGGAAAGGGGAAAATGTATGTTCGGCAACAAGGGGGTGCAAATCTGAGGGGGTGCAAATTGTAGGAGGATGCAAATTGGTGGAGGTGTAAGTGGAGGGTAAATTGTTGTTTGGATGAAAAAGTAGGGAGTGCAAAGAGAGTTAAAAATAAATATTATATTATTATAAAATAGATTTATCAAATTTATAAAATATTATCACAAAATAATAAAAGAAAATAATTATATAATAATTAATATATTTTAATAAAAATTGAATATATCTTTAAATTGAATATGGTCAACTCGTAACTGGTCATGCTACAAAGTTCTCGTGTCTAATATATCTTTAAATTGAATATGGTCAAATTTAGTCAAACAAGTTCCCCAAACACTTCTTATCTCTAAGTTTCAATGCAAATTCGAGTCACCCAAGAGATCTCTATTTGACTAGACTTACATTGATAAACTTGCTCTCGGAGTTCAACAGTCAACTCCGAACAATGTCTATATTAATGATAACTATAATTATTATAATTTCCATAAATTGATCATATTAATTATTATATAAGTCAGAAGCAATTAAAAAATAAAAATTCATAATTTCTCCATTCCTCCCTCTCTTCCTTCCTTCCCTTGCACCCCAATTTGGGGGTAAGCCGAAATAGTAATTCTGCACCGGCAGTTTGCACCCCCTACTGTTCAAAATTATCCAAACAGGTGCAAATGTGTTGGAAGCTGTGTTTACCCCTCACATTTGTGGTAGTCACTATTTGTCTTCCAGGTCGACCTAATACTTTGTAAGGTCGACCACGTCTTTGTTTTTTGGTCAATTGTAGAAATTTGTAGTTGAATTATGATTTAAATTTTTCTTTAAATTGTTTAGACGATGACGCATGATGAGAAACTGCATCAAGATTTGGGTGAAATCATGAAATTGTTGAAAGCCACACAAGAGAAGCTGGTAGTGTGTCAAACACAAGTCAATGACTTTCAGAAGTCCATGCGTGATAGAGTGGAGCAATTGTCAGTTCGACTGACAGATATGACTGGGATGATGCATGACGGGTTTGAGAGGCTAGAAGGTGCTATCAAAGATATAAGTGAAGAACGAATGGAGAATGGCAGAAGAAATGGTAAAGGAAAGAAATTTGACTTTGGTAAAGAGGAAGAAGACCATGATGACTCTGAAAATTGCTACCAGAGCATAGACGATTTATTGAAAGAGCACATTTTAAAGGTATCCAAGTATATTCATATGTGATTGAAGATATTAGTATTACTATCATTAGTGCTAATTTGTTTTGTTTATATGTTTGACAGAGTGAAACAACGAATGGCAGCAAGGGTTCCTCTCCTAAGTACAAGAGACCGCGATATGAAAGTGACTCCTACACCACTCCACAGAAGGATCAATTTGTAAGAAAAGGATTATTTAGTGATGATAGCGATGAAGATGAATCTAAGAGTCCTTTCGAAAGGCACGGGGTAAGTTTACGTTACATATTCATCTATAATGTGTGTCCTGTTCATATGTTACTTTAATTTTAACTATGATTTGTAGGTCATGAAAGTGGAGGGTCTAGAAGGATTCACCAAAAATCTTCAAAATCCAGTTGAAGACTTGTATTATGTTGTTACTAAAGAGAAGGCTGGGGACGAGAATTGGGACAAGTAAGACGTTTTTTAGTACGTGTGGTCGACCGTTTAGGTCATGAGGTCAACCGTTTGTCCAATAAGGTCGACCGTGACTGTGAACAAGTCGACCTGTACGTTGCAAATCACAATTGACATTTCTGTTATTTTGATTTTTGCAGTTTGACCGTTGTGGACTTTTTTTCTGAAAACTTGCAACGACATTATTTGAGTTCGGTCAGCGAGAATAGCTGGGTTTGCTCATCAGTAAGTACTATACTACTACGACTTTCGTATGAATTGTGAACTATTGATGTTACGATTTAC